GGGGCGCTTTAGTTAGTTGATCTAAAAGAGCCAGCAGAATGTAGTCCCAAACTATACAGCTAATGGCGGACCTCCCGCCACAGGCTGGTTTTCTGAAGGGTCTCCAGTGATTGGCTGGTCCTCTGTGGTGTACGTTTTCTTCCCAGGTGTGCGCATCCTAGCGCACCAGATTCATGCTGTGCCCTGTGCCAGAAGCCTATCAGTTGCTGGGGTGGGGTGGGCAGTGTGAATGTCTTGTCTTTCTCACTATCTCTGATCTCTTCATTAACAAGGAAATCTGCCCCTCAACTTCCCTTTTGCTGGAGAGATGGGCTGGGGGTGGGGAAGTGTTTCCACCTCTCCTTTGTGTTATAATTTCTGCCAGACTCCTGGAAGCACCTGTCTTCTCCCTTTGCCAGCCTCTGTCTGCCTAGCATTCTTATGGTTAATTTCTTCTCTGTCCATGAACAGGCTTGCATAGAAATCATGAAAAGATGGTTTCTCAGTGAGGATTGAATTAGGACAAAAGTGGTGGATGAATGAAGACCCATGTATGTATGAGGCATTTCTGTCCCATTAAACAGTCCTGTGAATGGACCAAAAGTCATGGAGATTTTACCTAAACAGAAAGACTGCATAGAAGAGTCTCCTCATCCTGCCCCACCCTTTTTCTGTAGGAGTTTGTGCTTGTCCCCCATTCCCACACTCCTTTCTTTTTTCTTTAACAACTTCTGTGGTTATGATCTGGGGCAATACATTTGCTTTTAGGTCTTCTGGCGAGTAGCCAGTGTTTTTCTTTTAAAAATCAAAACCAAGCTCACTGTCCTCAAGTCGATGCCCACTCATGGTGAGCCTGCAGGACAAAGTAGTGCTGCCCTGTGAGTCTCCCTGACTGTAACTCTTGACCAGAGTAGAAAGCCTACCTTTCCCCTGTAGAGTGGCTGGTGGTTTCAAACTGCTGACCTTGTGGATCAGAGCCCATCACTGAATAACCACAGTGCCACCAGGGCTCCTCTATTACCCTCTTTACAGGTCATTTATCTTTAAGGTAGTTGTATTGATCTTAAATTTTATTTACCAGAGACTACGCTTCTCTCTCTTTTTTCACATTCTTAGGGGAAGTGTTACTATCATTCCCAAGAAAAACTGCTAGTATAAAATTCTCAAGAGAGTGATTGCTCTACAGCGTGAATAAAAGCATTCAATGTTAGATTACA